CTGTGCACTTATCACATCCTACCTCGGAGCCTTCTTACCTGTGGACCTGTTTCTCGCCATGCTAGCAGACTCTTATCTTCTTCAGGACAGGCATTGCATTTTGGTTTATCCTCATGCACCCAGTCTGTACTTTCCCCGTGTTCAAGTACCCACATGTCCAAATGGATCCGTGATTCATGCGGATGTTCCTGCCAAAGGTGCAGATCACAACCAATCCACGTTTACCCATCCTGGGTGACTGTTGTCCACACTCACCCCAAAGTTCACCGTAGAGGATCCACCCACTGTGCTAGAGGCCATCCTCACTCACTAGTATCCACCCAGTAGCCTCTCACCTAGGCCGTGTGACCAGCCCATCTTCTGTTCCTGTCATATAATCCCTTGATGGCATCTTGCTTCGTGAAGTTCCCTTTTGGTTCTGTGTTACCTTCTATCCCCCTCCACCGGGCTCTTCATTACTGTCAAGGTGATATTCAGTTTAATTCTTTGGGGGCTGTTGTGTTCCACATGTCATTGTCATGTAGCAACATGAGTAGAGGGATACTATGAAAAGAAAGTCTTTGTTTTCATAGGAAGCTTAGGTTATTAAAAGAACTTTGCAATTTCCCCAAGGGAACACCGTCCTCTCTCCTCCTGCTCTTCAACTCCGGGCCTAACTTGTCGTCCGTCGGTGTTGTCCATCCCTGATAGAAACCCTGATAGACCAGCTCTGTAAGGTTTCCGTCCAAATGTGTGTTGCAATCTGGACAATAGACAGTCTTCATTCACTTGGTCTTTCCTGTGTGAATGATCAAGCTGAACTCTTCCAAGTAATTACAGATATCTTCCAAGAGATTGTGTAGTGTCCTGGGGAACACTTGCATCTCCATGGAAGCCAGAGAGCAGTGGCAAGGATGTGTAGAGGAAGGGCGTTGTTCTACAATCATGTCAGCTAGGAGGAGGAAGGCTGGATTTGGCCATTAGGACATCGCTGATGACCCTGACTCGAGCTGATTCAGGCGGATAGCTCGGATGGAAGCCAGATTACAGTAGATCAAGAGCGCGAGGGGAGCGAAGGAAGTGAAGGCGGCCGGTATAGTGCATCATTTCAACAATTAAATTTAACACCAGATATCAAGTGCCTGCTGAGTGTGGGGCTCTGGGCTCATACTGAGGATGCAAAGATTGGCTCAACACAGTCTGAGAACTTATAATTCAGTACACGGAAGGAAAAACCTGTAAATAATGAGGCAACAAGGCTGAGTAAAACTAACTCTTGGGAGCTCCAGGGAATGTGCCGTGAAAAGTTTGAAAAGAGTGAGGTCTTTTCTTGCTAAGGAAGCCAAGGAAGGCTGCACAGAGGAGGTGACAGTGTCCCAGAAACTTGATTTATTCATTTGACCAACATTTACTAAGCACCTACTGTGTGCAGCCTCCTGGGCTTGGCCCTAGGGAAGATACAAGGGTGAGGAAAGGCAGTCTCTGCTCCCTTGAAGTTTACCATTTGGTGGGGAGGGAGACAGGACATAAACCAATGACAACTACGTCACTAAAATGAGAACAAGCCTGTTTGTACTAGCTGCCTCACAGGGTGGTTGTGGTGGGAATGTTTTGTGGATTGTAAAGTGCTTTAGGAAACGTGAGCGTGCCTGGGGTCCCTCTTTTGGGGACATACTCTTACAAGTTCCATAGAGGCCCCAAGAAAGACTTGATAATTCAGTCTCCTCAATGGCCAGACATTCTCAGACTTTTTGGGGGCCCTGCTGGGTCTGAACTGTAAACTTTACTATCAGGTTGGCCTCAAGTCGTCCCCGGCTGATCTTAGTCAACGTGCAGATTTCCTAATGATTTCCTCACTTGCTGCCTTTGTAACATCAACACCCTCTGGTTGTCAGAAAGTGTGGAGCCCAACCAGGGTACATCACTGCTGTCTTCCCTCTCCCCCAGCAAGGCATGGCTTTATCAATCCTGAAGACTGTGTTTCTAGTTAGAAAGTAGAGGTGGCCATTCTAGGGTTGTGCTGCCCCCTGGTGGTCAACTGTGATTCTTGCATGGTCCATCATAGAAGCACACCAATGTCAAAGGTAGACTACAGAGGTCACCCAGTACAACCTCTTCTTTTTATAGAGGAGGAACTTGAGGCTATCAAGGGGAAAACAGCAAGTCATATACATTTCATGAGTTAAATTGTGACGTCATTGCCTGTATTTCATGAGCTAAATCACTGGTAGAGGTCATAGGGCCAGGAAGCCCATGGGGGGCAATGCCGTGCAGTGGGAAGGATGCTGGATTTGGCATCAGAGGGCTTGCCAACGACTAGCGAGGTTGCTTTCAGCAAACTACTTCTCTTCTCAAGTCCTCAGTCTCTCCATTTGCAAAATGAGGTAGTTAGATGAGGTGATTTCTAAGGTCTTCCTAGCTCCAAATACGTGATCCTGTAGTCGTGAGGAATGGATATTGGGCATCAACGTCCTAGGGTACTGGCCCCACTGGGGTCTATCCAAGTCAGTTGTGTCCTTCATCCACTCAAGAGATGGACCTTTGTCTTCCTCTCCTCTTCTCCCATTCTCACTTAGCTCTTCCCACCTGTCATCTCTATGGGCCCCAGGGACAACTATGGCCAGTGCAGTACCCAACCAGCAGACCTCTTATTGAAGCAAACATTCTGTCACTGATAGTCCAATAAACAAACAAATAAGTAATTAAATAAACTTTCAGAGTAAAAAAATGAGGTCAAACAATCACCAGAGAAAAAAAGAAGTATGGGATATGGGTTCCATTTCCTAAAATATATGACCAAGTAATTCAAAGGTCAGTTTTGAGAAAGTCACAAAAACAATTACGGTGCTGGTGATTCATATTCCAAAAAGTAGCGAGTATATTTCCTTGCCAATGTGTTCTATTTAAAAATTTATCAACGCCTTCTGTTTCTTACAGCATAATCAATTACCTACATACCCCCACCTCTCTTGAGCCTGACGAAAAACAGTGAAGCAAATCCAACCAACCCAGCACCCACATCTCCAGTTTTCTCGCACAGTTCTATACCCATAGCCACCTTGCCCCAGCTCTTTATTGATAGGCAGCGAGTGGGCTTCATCACTGCTTAGTACAGAAAACTTGAGTTGGACCGCCTTTCCTTTGTACTTTTCCTTAGTCCTTTTTTTTCTTTTAAAGTTCTATTGATGGCTTTGATTTTTATGTTATTTCCTGATATACCCCCTTATAATGAAGAGGAACAACTAAGCGGAGTCAATCGACACAGTGATTACCTCTAAAAGAGTGTGCAGCATTCTGTACCCATAGGCCCCCTTCACATCTCTACTTCATTTCACATCAGATCATGCACACCTCCCTATGTTCCTCTGAATTCTCCACACTTGTCATTTCTCACTGAGCAAGAATCATATTCCATTCAATCTTTGTATCACAATTTCACTGCCTGCTGTAGTGAATTGTCTAAGAAATAACTTCTTCGACCTTTCTTGTATTTCATCAGCTTTCCTTGGCATGCCAGAACTTTGTTCTCATGCGTCTTAGAGAAATATCAGGCATATGGTTTGCTAACTGTAAATGTCCTTTTGGTTACCTCTTCTGGGTGATAGTATCACCTATGAGTTTTTTCTCCATTCTTTTGATCTGAAAAAAAAAAAAGGAATCTGTCTTGGAGATATCTCACAAAGTCGATCCTTGAGCACGTCGAAATCACCTTCAGCATGGGCTTTTTCTGTGTCTGGCCAGCCATTCTGCCTGACTTATCTTCTACATGCCATTACTGGTTCTTCATATAGTCATACATCAGTTACAGAGGTCAGGTCAATGACAGGAATAGACCTGCTGAGAAATTTTAGACAGTCTGTTCTTCTTTCCATTTCATTGTTTTCCTCCTTCTCGTTTCACCTCTAAATGCTCGTTGCATGATCTGGCTTGGTTGAGTCTTATATCACTTCTTCCTTGACAGCTTTTTGCTATTTTGTGAGTCAATACTGAGTCAAACCTTCCTACACATTGTCCTACAAATGAGCTTATCTGCTAAACCACGGAACTCCCTTGGATCGCCCTTGGATCGCCATGTTTCTGTCCTTGCAATGACCAAGTATTTAGTGGTTGATACGGTTTCTGGGCTACTTTGCCTCCTTACTGTAGCAATTGATTAAACTTCTTGAAAAGAGGTGATAGGGAGAATTAATTTATTTTTCACCCATTTCTCACTTTTCAGAGTCAGATGCATATTTAAATAAGTAGGATTGATTCTTTTGTGATGTCATCCTCTCATTTGTATCTAAGGGGACATTGATTTTGACCCTTGCTCCAACAAGTGAATGGTGAGGTTTTGTACAGTCAGAGCACTGATTCTGAAATAATTCCAAAGTTGGTTCCCATATATTGATGCAGTGTTAATTTGATTTTGGCGATGCTGGCCAGTGCTCAGCATTCCCTGTGCCTTCTGAGACTTTTCTTTAAGAAAACACTCACGATTCACAGACATGAAGCTTCTGAGTAGTCTACAAACCATTGCCTTCTTTCATTTCTTCAATGCAAATCAAAATCTCTGACTTTGTTGCCGTTGTTTTTATTTTCCCATAAATCTATCTTCTTTTTGAATTTGTCGGGTATGAAAACCTATGTCACCTCAGTTTCCTCAGCTACAAACTGGGGGGTTGGGATAGGTGATCTCAAGGGTCTCTTCCATCTCTGGATCTAGAATCTTTGGCTTGCTTCGTGTTTCACCTTCTGGAGGAGGCATTTCCCAAGTCATTTTGGAGCCTTCTCCTTTAGGGTTACCTTTCTCCTGCCCTGTAGGTAGCTTGTATGTACATATGTATTAAATGTTGTCTCCTCCGATAGAATGAAAGCTTCTTGAAGGCCCGGATTACTTTTGCCTTTATAGCCCCGGAATTTAGCAGAGGAGATCTGTGATTCGAACCCAGGATTTCTGACTCCAAATGGAATTTGGTGCACTGCATTGGTGTCCTATCATACATATTTAGAAACGTGCTTCTTTTTTTCCTCTCCCTCAGCCCATCTGCCAAGCAGCCTACCAGAATGACTTTGCTGAAGTCTGGAGGTGGGTGAAGGAAGATAATAGTTATGTCAACATTCAGGATGGCTTCAATGGAGACACTCCCCTCATCTGTGCTTGCAGACGGGGACACCTGAAGATAGCTGCCTTCCTTTTACGCAGAAATGCCAATGTGAATGCCAAGAATCAGGTGAGAATGTCTGGGAGGACGGGGAGGATGGAGGAAGCTGGTTTCACCGCAGACCTGAAGCAGACCAGTGATGAACAGGAGAAAGGAATTGTTGAGTGGAATTGAAGGGGACCTCAGAGGTCGTCTGGGCAAAACCCTCGTGCTATGATTCTCTTCCTTGTTTTATAGATGAGGAATCTGGGGTCCATGGACATCAAGTGACTTATCCAAGGTCACAGGGGGAGTAAGCATCAAAAGTGTAATTTGAACCCAGGTCCTGCTGACTCCAGAGTTAGCGATCTTTCTATCATTACCACACGGCCTCCTATAGTGGTGTAGCGGAAAGGACAGGGATTTTATAGTCAGGAGACATGGGGAAGAATCATGGCCCTGCCTCTTATCATCCATGAGCAAGTTCTGATCCATCTCCAAAATGAAGGGGTGGATTAGATGTCTCCAGTTCTAGCGCTATGGTTCTCTGGTCTACCATAAAGCAGAATGACCACCATGCTCATTCAATGATCTGTTGTTGATAATGATAAGCGGGATGGAAGAGCAGCAGAGCTGAGCTATGGAAGGTTGCCCCCTCCCCAAAGAACATATGCTGAAGTGAAAGGAATCTCAAAGCCTGGAGGCTGATGCTGGCCATCCATCCATAATAGAGGCAGGGACACAGGCCAGGAGGGAGATAATGGCTTTGCCCTCTTGGCTTAGATTTTATGCCTGCTCTGGTTCATTTCCAGAGGATTTGGGGGGCTGTGGCAAACATCAGTGCCTTAGACCCAAACCAGCCTTTGTGGTTTGTGGAAGACAGCAACCCCTGAAATGACCTGAGGGAGCAATTAGCAATTGCCAGGAGCTAAAGGGGACTAACCATAGTGACCCGGAGGACACAGCTTGTTCAAAGTACTTAATGAAATAATAGAGTAAGCATTGTCAAAAACCATTCCGCCATAAGCCTGGGCACCCTCGCTCACAAGTACACACACCATTGGTGGACAGCTTGGACACTGACACTTTTCTCAGCTGCCTGCCCCTAGACTCTTTGGGTGTCCCGTGTCAATGAACCATAGCAAGGACTAAAGCCGAAAGCAGGAGAGCAAAGCCACTGCCTTCCTCCTGGATCTCCGTCCTGCTCTTTGTATGTGTGTGGGGCTGGCAATGAGCCTCCCAGTCTCTGAGCTGCCCTAAGTTAGAAAGGAATTGCCATTTGGGGAGTAACAGGTTTATCTCCCTAATCGGGGTCTGCTTTGACTAGTATTAACCCTTTCTTCATTCGCTAAGGATACCAGCTGGAGAAGGTAGCCCGGCTAACTGCTAGGTGATGGGGAAAATGGCCCTGGGATTAAAACTTGTCTGCAATTAAAGCCAATGTTGGAAGCTGACCAATGACCTTCCAATAGCATGAAGATCCTCCATTAGAAAATGTAAAATTTCTTACTAACTGTGTGAACCTGGGCAAGTCACTTAATCCGATTGCCTAGCCAAAAAAACAAAAAACAAAACAAAAAAGAAACACCAAACCCAAAAAACAAAACAAAAACAAACAAACAAAAAAAAGAAAATGTAAAATTTGAGTGGAAAATGAGTGTCCCTAAATGACAACAAGGTGATTTTCTTCTTCTTCTATTTAAATTTGCTTTATTCCTAGAAAGAGAGAGCCAGCCTACATTATGCGGTGAGGAAGCGGTTCACCTTCCTTGACTACCTGCTCATCATTCTCCTGATGCCGGTGCTCCTGATTGGCTATTTCCTGATGGTGAGGAGGGGAGAAGGGGGGACAGAGCTGAGCCCTCTCCTGACCCCCGCTGGCTCGGTGCTCGTTGTGGGGGCTTGGGCAGCTTGTTTTCTGTCCCCTCCCCCACCCCATTACGCTTGCTCCTTCCCTGGCTAGACACATCCTCTTCAGTAGAAGGGGGATGGGCCCCACTCTGTACTGGGCAGAGCTCAGGGCTCACTCACTGTAAACTTACATCTCTTGGATGAGTCAGCCCAGGGAAGGAAGAAGCCAATGGTTCTGTTTTCAGTTAGAATGACATTTATGAAGCTCCTCGTGGCCCTGTGCTGGCCCATTTGTGAGGCTTTCTAGGACTCTGGGCTTTTGGCCAAGCACTGGACTGTTTCCATTTGCTTTTATGTCTTCAGTGCCTGGTACATGGTAGATGCCTCAATGCCGTTCGAGGAATGTTGTTTTAAAATTCTACTTCCTGGTGTAGCAGGAAGAGAACAGTTTTGGGATCAGGAATTCTGGGTTTGAATCCTACCTTGAGATGTATTAGTTGTGTGATGCTGGGCAACTCATTCAATGTGTCTGAGCCCCAGTTTTCTCATCTGTACAATGGAGGTAATACTCATGAAACCTCCTTGAGGGGAAAGTGCTTGGTTAATCTTAAGACAGTATAGAAATGGGGATTATTATCTATGGAAAGGGAAATAGGAGGATGGTGAAAGATAGAATGGGGAATAAGGGCATATAAGGGATTATTATAACAACTAACATTTCTATCATGCTCTAAAGTTTACTCAGCTCTTTAGAACATGACTAGTTTGTTTGATCCTCACAACTCTGGGAAGTAGGTGCTGTTATTATCTCCATTTTACAGATGAGGAAACTGAGGCAAAAAGAGGTTAAGTGACTTGACCAAAGTCACATAGCTAGTAAATGTCTGAGGCAGGATTAGAACTCAAGTCTTCCTGACTCTACCCCAGTGCTCTTTCCACTGAGCTGCAAGAAGACTTAGCCTATTATTTAAATGGTCTCTATAAACAAATCTGTCTTTAATGTCACCCCACATCATCCTTCTCCCAGAATCATGTGCTGGGAAAACATTTAAATTAATGTATATTGGCTCATCCTGTGTTACTCAGGTATCAAAGACGAAACAGAATGAGAATCTCGTCAGGATGCTACTCCGCGCCGGCGCAGATGTTAATGCCACAGACTATGTAAGTGGATAGTTCTGTCTGTCTCAGAACAATAAATCATGGAATCTCAGAGCTGGAAGGGCCTTGGAGTGCATCCAGACAGAGCAAGAAGCCCCTCCCACCGGAGCATCCCAGACAAGGGTCATCCCACCTTCCCTTGAGGATGTCTCAGGAGGGAGTAACCACCACCCGGAAGGCAGCCCAGACCCTTAGGACAGCTCCTGTAGTTAGGCGTGGTTCGGTTCGGTCTGGTTGGTTTCTGTTGCTTGGTGTCAGGTCTAAAGCTGCCCCTCTGTAATTCATAGCCAAGTAGAGCCCGAGCGAGAAGGGACCTCAGAGGCTGTCCAGTTCAGTGCATTCCTCCCAAAGAACACCCTCTATGGCAGCCCCAATGGAGGACCCTGCAGATAGTGCCCAAAGCCACCCGATAAAGGGGTCTCCCAGCAAAAGCTACTGGGTATGGATAGGAAGAGCTCACATCTTTAGAGAATTCTAAGTTAGACAAAGACATCATTTTTGTTTGCAAAGATTACCTGCTGCAGTCCAAATCATTCACCTACTTTTTATGAAACTTGGCCTTATTTGGGTAAAGAATGATGCTGTGGACTAAATCTGAGCCTTTACTGGTTTTGGGAACTCCCTTTGCCAATGACCATCCTCCCTGCTCTGACACTCAGTCTTTGGCAGTTAAGTGTCGTCCAGATTCACACAGCTGGTATGAGTCAAAGGTAGGACGTCCTGGCACCCAGGACAGCTCTCTGGTCATTTTGACACAGCCACAAAGTTGTGATATTTTTAAATGCAGGCAAAGGAGACCTCATGCCTATTAGAGCAGAGGCCTGCAAACTTCAATGCAACAAAGGCCTTTCTGTTCTTGCATTTTCTGTGGGTGCCTGCGCTCTGAGCTTACAGGAATGGGCACGTTTACAAACAGCTTGGATGTGGAGTCACCATAGAGGAAATACCTCCTGGCCCAATTAACTTGGCTTTATCTGGGCTTTGCTTTCCCGTTTCTCTAGTTCAGAGATGGGGAATGAGGCCTTCACTTCCTTCCATCCAGCCTGAAGCAATTAGTTTTTGAGTTAATAGAGCTCTTGACGCACAGTGTGTAACCCGAAGCGTCGTTTCCCTAGTAGGCAGCTACAATTGTCCCAAGCATTCCAGAGCATTGGAAGACTTAATTAAAAGGTCATTGAAGAGCTCTGAACAAGTATGATTAATTCATATGATCCTGAAGGCTTTTGTACTTAGGGTTTTGTGGTTTTTTATTTTGGTTGTTACTTTGGATTCCAACTTTAGATTCTTACCTCTAAGATCCAACTAGGTGAATAATAACTGACTCTGATTTATTGTGGATGGAGGAGGCCCAGAGGAAAAGAAATAGAATAATGCATGAATGGCAGATGACTCATTGAATCAGTTAGATGGTGTGGTGGGTCCGTTGTTGAACTTGGAGTCAGGGAAAACCTGAGTCCAAATTATGCCAAGACACTTCCTGGCTGTCAATCCCAGGTAAGTCACTTCACCTATCTGTACCTCAGTTTTCTCACCCTCAAGGTGAAAGGGTTGGATTCTGTGGTCCCTAAGGTACCTTCCAGCTCTGCATCTATGTTCCTATGATTTAAAATCCCAAGTAAATTTCTGAAATGTAGACTAGTCCTTCATGTATAAAAATGAATTTGGAATCCTTTCAATCATAAACTCACATTTAAAAAATAAATTGTGGATCATAGATTCCAAGTTCAGGAAGGACTGTTCTGAACTGTTGGCCAGCCAACCTGTATTCAAAGAGCAGCGGTATCAGGTGATAAATCATTCTGATATCCACAGACCGTATTCTGACTGGGCCTGGCATTGTCCCCATAGAATGGAAACTCCTGGAGGGCAGGGCCTATGCCATCTTTGTCTTTGATTTCCTGAACTCAGTAGGGTCCCGGGCACATAGTAGGTACTTGTTAAGTATTTGGTTAATTGAATTGAGTTGAATTAATTAGAGCATTTGCCTCAGACCAACATTACTCATATTAGTGTTTTCAAAAGGGATCAGGGCAAGGTAAGGAGACAGCTCAGCCACCACAGCTCGATGTCATTCCGGGGGCTGAGTCCAAGGGGGAGGAGGCGGCATGGATGGCCAGACAGAAGGCGGCACATATGGAGGTGGCTTAAAAATGCAGAGATGAGGAAAGGGAGACTCAGAGTCTAAGCAGATTTCTCAGTGTTACACACCCAGCAAGAGATTTCAGGTAGGATTTGAACCCAGCTCTGCCCGACCCCTCACCCAGTGCTTTATCCACTGAGCTTTACTGGGTATGTCTTCCTGCTTCAGGGCTTCAAGGTTTAAAGTATTCACAAGAGGCCTAGGTAATACAAGTACCCCTATTTCATAGTTGAGGAAACTGAGGCACAAAGGCAGAGTGACCATGAGAAAGGATCTGAGCCCACTTGAACCCAGAAAGCGTCTTGATTCCAAGCCCAGAATTCTTTCCCTTCTCAGTCACTTCTTAGTAATGATGTAGTCTCTTTAAGCGGGGCCGCCAGCCGGGAATGATTAATGTGGCTCCTTCTCACCCATGACAGTCTGTAGTGGTCCTTCTCTCCAGGTGATTCTCTGAGAGATGCCCCTGCCTCACCCCTGCTCTTTCAGGGTTCCCAAATTCACCCCAGGGGAGGTTCTTATACTCACCCGAACTCACCAGTTCATTCTAAATGAACCTGAGTCCCGTAGGCAGAACAGGACAAAGATGTGAACCCACAACTTTAGGGACCAGGCATCTGTTTGAGAAGCTTTTCCTGAGAGACCTGGCCGAGTGAAGAGATGGCTAGACCAGAAATGGGAAAGAGCTGGGTTCGCATCCTGCCTCACACCTCCCAGTAGTGACACCTTGGATGATTCCCTTTCCCGCCTAGAGCCTCAGTTAGGTCTTCTGTAAAATGGTGTTAATAATGCCCATAGGCTTTCTCTCTTGTCGGATGGCTCAGACGAGAGTGTGTATTTGAAGGACTATGTCTTTTTATTATTATCTCTGCATTACCAAGAGAATGTGTCACATACACTTGATAAATGTTGATTGATGGATTGGGTCTGTTTCAGGCTGGCTGCACGGCTCTTCATTATGCGTGCAAAATGAAAAACCAAAGCATCGTCCCCTTACTTCTAGCTGCCCATGCGGACCCCACCATAAAGAATAAGGTGAGTCACATCATGTGCCATCCAAGAGCCCTACCATCAACGTGCTCTCTTAGAACTCAGGGCTGGTGTCTCCCTTAGACTGGAAACTCCTCAAGGAGGGGGTGGGTCATTGGACGTATTGGTATCCACAGCCCCTGGGACAGAGCATATGGTAGTTATTTAATGCCTGCTGAATTCCTCCTCCATCCCCTGAAAGATATAAGCTGCTTGAGGCGGGGTCTGCGTAATTTTTCATCTTTTCTACCCTTGGATTTGGCACAGTGCCCCTTCCCTCCCCGCCCTGACACTCACCCACACAGCAGGCATTTAGTACATGTCTGTTGCTAGGAAAAATTGTAGCTTTGTTGATGAGTCTGTATGATTCATTAAGAGGAAGTAATGCCTGCCTTTCCCCTCTTCCCAGCATGGAGAGACTGCTTTGGACATTGTGCAGAGATTAAAATTTCCTCAGATTGAAGCCATGTTACGGAAAGCATCCTAATCCTCCCCGATATCATAGATGGAGCACTGAACCAAGGTCAAAGACTCTGGCTGGATCCCTGTGTTTGTCTCTGTTTCCACCATCTCATGCCAGAGCAGGCCCTCCATGTCTGTTCCTCGGTTTCTCCATCTGTAAAAAGGAGATTTTTAGTTACCAGGGATGATGAAAATAATGTGTTTCGTATTTGTACAGATGTTTCACCCTGAAGGATTCACGTTGACCATCCTCCTTCCAAGACTAATGTCCATCTTGGCCAAGGCCCCATTTTACCTAATGAAGTTTGTTTCTCAGATTTACTCAGTCAGGTTTTCTAAATGGAACAGACAAAATGAAAGAGGCTGGTGTCTGTTTTCCCTCATTCCACATGTCCAGCTTGCCTTGTGTTCAGTCAGCCACAACAAGTCTTCAGTGATGCCCTTTGGGCCACTCCTGTCCTGCCATCCTCTATTGACAATGTCCCACAGTGATGCCCACCTACTGCTGCCTTCTGGATCACCCACAAGTTGGATTCATCAGAGCTCTTGGGGCCCCTGACTCAAAGCCACAGAATGTTACCAGGAGAATGAGGGGTCTTCAAAAGAGGTTGTCTGTGGCAGGGGCAGCTTGGGGTCTTTGAAAGCACTGAGCCTCTCCTCTACAGCTTACAAATCTATGTCTTCCTAAGACCTTATCTTTCTACAATGTCATACAAAAGAGGGATTAAGACTGTTGGATAGCCGCCAGCCTTGGTGGTAGCTTCCCCTTGTCTTTTGGACCCAACAGCTGTCGACGGAGCTATGAAAAGGGTGAGCACAGCTGTAAAGTCAAACTGACCCCCTCCTTCCACCACCACAGAGGCAGACCAGCCAGAGCTGTGACTAGGATGGGGCAAGTGGACCTTTGCCTTAACAGCATTTAATTTAGAGGGCACTGAATTTTGAGGGTGCATTCTCAGCTCCCCAGCACACAGAAACAACAGAGCTCAGTGCCTGACTAGCAGGGATAAGTCACCAAAATCAGAAGCTACCTCTGTGGGAAGCTGGGGTGAGTTTCTCTTCCACTGTGCCCTCTCTGCTGCCTCTCTGTTACCCCTCCTTATACGGCCTCTCTAGCACTGACCCAATGCTGGATCTCTGGCTCCTGGCCTTAAACCATAGGATGGGGTCCTTTGCCTCTTCTTCCATTTCAGAGATTCTTGCCCCTGGCATTTTCTTGGTACACACTGTAGGTACACACATTTTACTTTCAGCTCTGACCCCAGCCGCAGTCTAGACCAAAAGAATCATGGATGGTCTGCTCAGAATCCAAGAACAAACACATATCAGTCCGATAGCTGACAGTAGTCAGGTGGGATCTCTGAGAAGCCACTGTCCCAGTTACCATGCCCTTGGCCTTGACTGTTACCACCTGTCCAGTTTTGGCTGGTTCCAGGTAAATCTTGAGCTCATTTGGCAAAGGAAGGGAAGGGGGGCATGTTAATGATCTTGGGACAGTTTTCTGTCAATTAAAGGTTTACAAAGTACTTTGTAAGGGTCTGTGAGGGTCTGGGAAGCTGGTATCAGGATTATAGATGAGTAAACTGCGAAGCTGTCACTCGTCCAAGGGCGCATAGCTAAGAATTGTCTGAGCCAGCGTCAGCTCCCAGGCCTCTTCCCAGCCAGTGAAATTTGGGTAGAGAAGTGCTTGATTTGGAAATAGAGGACCTGGGCCAGAATCTTGGCCCTTATTAAAAACTGGGTGACTTTGAAAGGCAAGTTCCTTTGCTTTGGAACCCAGTTCCCTCAATTTATAAAATAAGGTGGATGGATAACTGGTGTCCCTTACAGGTAGAATTTTATGATCTTCTGACCCCGAATACAGCGTTCTTTCCAGCATGCCCCCTGGTTATATCAGCATGGCTGCTGTTGCATTGGTATTGATTAGTGGAGGCAGTGAGGTGGAGCAATGTTGGAGCCAGAGTCAGGAAGTCCTGAGTTCAAATCCAGCTTCAGACACTTACTAGCTGTGTGTGACCCTGGGTAAATCATTTAACCTCTATTTGCCTCAGTTTCCTCATCTATAAAATGGGGATAATAATAGCATTTACCTCTCATGGCTGTTGTGAGGATTCAAAGAGTTATCATATGTGTGTAAATGCCAGCTACTATTCCTGAAGAGTTGATATTAAAGAAAGAGAACTTGATTTGGCATCAGAAGCCCCGGTTTTGAATTCTAGCTCTGTCCCTTGCAAGCTGGAAGACCCTAGCCAAGTCCCTTCCCTTTTCTGTGCCTGTTTCCTGCTTAAAATCAGAGGTTAGGACAAGAAAGCCACTGAGGCCTCTTCCAGCTCTTGCTCCTGGTTAGATGAGGATGTCACCATGGCAACCGGCAGTGGACCCTGGAGGACTTCTGCGGGAACCACACAGAGGCAGCCGGGGCCTCAGATTCCCAGCATTCACTTAATTTATTACTTTGTTGTCTTGGAAGCTCTGAGTGTGAATGCTGGGCAGCATCTTTTTTAATGAAATAAATTGAGATGTGTGAAACAAGTGGCTGGCTCTGATTTTGACCAGCTCGGAAGGATGCACGGCTTCAGAATCCGTCACCAACTCACTCCACCGTTGGACTCCATGTTAATCAGAAGCCTTTGGGCTCTTACTTTTGATAGCAGAACTAGATCAGGAAGGACCAGCTCAGGGCTCCCCCAGCTTCAGAGCCTTCCAGGCAGCATCCTGAGCCCACTTATGACACGCCCCCCCCCACTCACGCCCTCCCCCTTCAGGCTGTTGCCACGCCCTCTCCCGTCCTCTCTCCTGCCCTTCACACTCATCCCTTCTCCCTGTGCACAGTTAGCCTAGGGCTGGCCCCCATCAGCTCGCCCCCAGACCCTTGTAACAGTTTCCTCACTGCTTCTCCGGACTCCAGTTCAAGCACCTACAGCATCCAAGGCTCTTAATCAGTCACTGAGGCAAAAAGACAGAAGACAATGTGCCCCAATTCAAAGCCTTGGAATTGCATTGGGGGCGGGGCGGGGCCCGTGGAACAAACTAATTAGTGCATACCTGACAATTTACGAAGCGGGAAGACAGTATTGATTATTGGGAGAGTAGGGAAAGTTTCCTGTGGGAGCTGCATGGAAGCTGCCAGGGAAACAAGGGATTCCAGGCGGCAGAGGCCAGGAAGGAGAGGGTTTCAGGCAGGGGCTTGAAGTGGGTTGGGGGAAGAGAGCCTGAGTCGAGAGGGGAATTGTCCGGCCAGCTCTGCCCATAGTGAGCATCCAGCTCGCTGGAAGGGAGTGTGTGGCAGTCGTCAGAAGGCACAGGACTGGCCTGGCACTCTCCTACTCAAAACCATCTAGTGACTCCTGACTGTGCTAGGATGAATAGGAAGTTTTCAGTGTGGTGTTTGAGGCACTCCACCAAGTGTGAGGCACTCCACCAAGTGTTTTAACATCCCCAAGCAGGCTGATTTCACATTCCCCCTCTTTTTGCACGCTAGATTTCAGCCAAACCGGACTGTCTGGCCTCTTCCTGATTGCGTCCTGCTGTCTCTGGCTTCTGGGCATTAACTCAGGTCATCCTGGATTCCTGGCTCCTCGTCCCTCCTCACCACTCTCTGTCAAACCCCTTCTCTTCCTTCAGGAGTCCACTGAGGGTCACTTTCTTCCTGCATCCTTCCCTGATCTTTACAGCCCTAAGTCTTCTGTCTCAAGTTTTCCCTAGAACACTGTCTGAATGGCCTCTTTGAACCTATTGATATTCCTAACGGGCAGGGACAATTATTGTTATTATTATTATTATCATTAGCCTTTCTTTGTATGTCCAGCTCTTAGGCACGCACAGGCAAGTAGGGGAGGTGGGATTTAAACCAAAGTCCTCTGACTTCAGAGCAATGTACCATCCTGCCTCCCCATTCCCTGAACAAAATCTCAGAGGGATGTAAGATTTTTCATCTTCCTTGTTTTAAGATCGCTTCATAATTTCAACTCTTCAGATGGTGCTAGGTAGAGAAATGATGTATTTAACCTGGATGATGTCAACCATGCCTCCCTCTTCTGCCCTCCCCCACACCCCCTGCACAATTGAAATCTCCGGATAATGGAGACAAGCTTGACCAGGGGAGGGGAGAGGTTTGAATATTGACTTCCATTCTTCACTTTGCTCATGTTCACCTGGTGATGTTAAGGTGTAGTCTTTGTCTGCCAGCACAGATTGCGATCCATATGTTCCTTTAGGAAAGAGTCTTAGACAACTGCCCAATTTCCAGAAAGACCTCAGACAACTAGTGTCAGACGTGGAATCTGAACTCGAGATGTCCAACACTCTATATCCCATACCACACAACCTCTCTGTAAGTGAGATAAATAACTACTTGTTAAATATCTGCTGAGGGGACACAAGCAGGTAGAGGTCCCCTGCTTTCAGGGGCTTACAACCTAGTGGTAAGCCAAAAGTTAACTTTACTTTTTTTTTTTTTTTTGGAGAATGATTGTCATTAAAATCAGTTCCATTTCCAGAGGTTGCTTTTGTCCCCAGATGGGCTCCTTTGCCTATTGTACCAGCAACCATCCTTGGGACCTCAGGCCTCAGTGCCATGTAAGAGAACAGAGAATATGGAGTCATGGAGTTGGGTTTGGGTCAAACTCTGCCTCTTAGTGCCTCTGTGACCTTGGACAAATCACTTTATCTCTGTGGGCCTCTGTTTCTTCATCTATAGAATGAGGAGATTGTGGAAAAGAGAATAGCCTGTTCTGTTGGGCCCCAGTGATAGGAATGGTGACAAAGGCAAATTTGGGCTGTTGGTGTTCAGTCTTTTTTTTCAAATGTGTCTGACTCTTCATGACCCCATTTGGGGTTTTCTTGGCAGAGATCCTGGAGTGGTTTGCCATTCCTTTCTCCAGTTCATTTTATAGGAAACTGAGGCAAACAGGGTCAGGGTCACACAGCTAGTAAGTGTTTGAGGCAGGATTTGAACTCACAAAGATGAGTCCTCCTGACTTCGGGCCCTGCGCTCTAACCACTGCTCCATCTAGCTCCCCATTTTTTGCCTAAATTGGGATTAGACAACAAGCAAACCTCCCTTATATCCGGAGCTATCCCAGAATGGACCAGGCTGCCTTAGGAGGTAGTAGCTGCCCCTGCATGAGGCTGGATGACCTTTGGGTTGGGGTGGTAGAGGGGATTCATTTTCAGGTACGGACTGGACTAGACTGTCTGTCTCTGAGTTCCCTTCTAGCTCAGAAACCCTAGCAGTGCATGAGCAGCTGACCTCTGACATTCCTGGCTTCTCTTGATCTGATGTTCTCAATGTACAGATTTGGTCAGAATGAGCACTTTTCCATAGAGACAGATCTGTTAAACCAGTTGCTACCTGCCTCTGACTCAGGACCCCCAGGCCCTTTTGCCCTAAAATATCTGGATAATTGAGGCAATGGTATAGACTCTTTCAGCCCCAGTCCAGCTGATCCTTTTGATTCTTCCTTCAGGCTGCTTTGAGCAGCCACACTTTCCAGACAGGTGAATATAACACAGTTCAAGGATCCCTATGTTTTCCCCCAAGACGAATGATAATTTTATTAACATAAAAGAAGTACTCATGTCAGTTCTAGTGTCAAATTAAGAAAATCATCAAGGAAAGTAGACTTCGGCTAAGTCCCCTTCCCCTCTTTTCTTACAACCCCCCTACTCCCATCCATAGTTCCCCATGGACCTGGGGCTTCTCCACGTCAGAGCATCTCCATTGGGCACATTCCAGCGTTTTCCAGGGAGAGGCTCATGTCCTTCTGTTTCATCATCTCAATGATCTCCTGGTACAACTGCTGTGGCGCATCCAGTCCCCAGATGAAGTCTGTGTGGGCCCACTCCGGGATGGTCTTATGGTAGACAAGGTTGGTCACTTGAGTGACCAAGATGCTGACATCATCAGGGTCTGAAAGCCAGTCCTGACCTCCTGACCACATTGCTATGGGGACAGTCATGTCTTTAATCTGGTACCTCACAGGAGTTGGCTAGGGGGGAAAAAAGAATATCTTCTTTAATTGCATTCACCAACTATAAAACAAAAAATAATAAAATAAAGAATAGTAATAAAGTATAATACATTTTTAAAAAGTTTAAATTATTATCCAATACTCTAATAATTTCCCTCCAATGGTGTAGGTCACAACACATTCGCCCCAGCACTGTCCAACTCTTGACCGTGTCCTACCATAAATCTGCCCCAGGGCCACTGGCCAAGGTGCTAGCAGCAGTCTTTGAATTCTCTTTTCATTGAAGAGAAACCATCGGAATACAGAAACTGTCCACCTGCCATCCCATGCCCTCACTGTATGACCAGTCTGTGGTTTCTCAAATCAGATGTTTCTCTGATAACATCCTTTACACCAAAGCTCTTGTCTAATTCTCTATTTGTCCCAAACTTTATCTTGCTTACTCCTATCATGTACTTCTTTGTAAACGACCATAAATTATCCCACCCATAATAAAAAAATTACAGGAAAAATAAATTTTCAAATCCATTTAGCTTGGGAAGGTAGAGATTCTTCTTTCTTTAAAAACGATTTCTTAAACTCATGAGATATCTGCTTTTGTTTCTTCTCCCATTTTTCTATCTCTTCAGTTTTCTCTAGAAATCATTAGGGCTCCATTTATGGTGTGGGCTCCTTGAGAGCAGGGGCTGTTTTTGTTGTTTTGTGTGTTTCTTTGTATCCCAAATGCTTAGCACAGTGCCTGATACTGACTAACAAACCAAGTAATGGGAATTCAATTAGTCAGATTCTTCAGTTATCTGGACTTTCTTACTCGTGCTCAAATTTTAGGATGAGCCTCCTGCCCTATTCAAATAAAACAAAATGAATAGAGGAATTCACTCACAGAGGGTAGTGTGGTAAAGTGGAAAGAGCACTGAACCTAGAACCAAGACCTGAGTTTTAGTCCTAGCTCTTCTAATTGCTGCTAGGGTGACCTTGGGCAAGTCACTAGCCCACTGCCTCAGTTCTTTCTCTGTAAAAGAGTGGGTTGGAGTCAATAGACTCTAAGGTCCCCTCCAGCTCGGACATTAGAAGAGTCTGCCCTTGGGTGCTCCTCTTCTGTCTCCTCCAAGTGTAGCAAAGCCTCCTCATCTATCTTGATGATAGGTTCAGGGAGCACTTAGCCTAGCTGAGTGGATCTGTCTGTGCTGGTTCCAGTGGAGTCAAGCCCAAAGCATTCCCAGTCCTTTGGGCTCCAGGTAGTTCATCCTTTCCTGTGGGATGTTGCAATCATGTAACTTTCCAAAGGTGAAGACAGACTTTCAGGAGGTGCTATTTTTTCCTACCTGATTGCATTTCTCCAGATTTTTGGTTTCACTTCCCCAGTCATATGCTTGGAGCGCTCCAGAATTCACTGTCTTAGAGGAAGAAGAAGAAGGTAACATTAGCACAAAATGCTTGGGGGCTGGAAATGGGATACCAATCTGCTCCCTGTAAGAGAGGCATGCACTGAGAGAGGATACAAAATCAGGAAACAAGGTCTAATTTCTTCTCCTCAGTTACAAACGCCTTGAAGGTGAAGGAAATGAATTTTTCAGCTGTGCCTCTCTCAGCACCCGATACTGAGCGGATTAAATAGTTGGTGAATAGCTGATTGCAAAAGTTAGTGCATTGAGTACTGCGGATGGCACGTAGTAGGTGCTTAATAAGTGCTACTTCACCTGATGGTTTGCTGTCATCTCGTAAAGAGGTCTCTAGTAGAGTGCCTCCAGGATCCGGCATTGGCCCTACACTGGTTTTTTTTTAATCAATGCCGTGGACAAAGGCGTCATGTGGCATCCTTATCAAATTCACAGATGACACTAAACTGGAAAAGGTAGATAACACAGTGACTGGCAGAGTCAGGATTCAAAAAGAATTTGACAGGCTAGAGCATTAGGCTAAACATGATTAGATGAAATCTACTGGGGGAAAATGTAAAATCTCACCCTTTGGTTCAGAAAACTGACTTCGCAAGAGCAAGATGGGTGAAGCATGATAGATAACGTTCTTTAAAAAGATCTGAGGGATTCAGTGGACCACAAGCTAACAAACATGTCAATGGTGTGATGTGGCAGCTAAAAACAAAATGAAAGCCTGGTGGAGAGTCGTAGCGTCCAGACCCAGAATGGTGATAGAGCCCACTTCACTGCGTCTTGCTCAGGCCACACCTGGATTGTTACATTCAGTTCTGGGGCCACATTTAGGAAGGATATTAATCCCAGTAGACAAGAGAAACGGTGGGGGAGGGGCATGATGGCATCTTCAAGTACTCGAAGGCTGTCTTGGGGAAAATGGATTAGAATTCTGTTTGCCCCCCTCCCCCAAGGACAGAACTAGGGAGCTCTCCTAACAGGCTCAAGTGAAAAAAAAAAAAAAAAGAACAAAACCAAAACCAAACCAAACAGCACCAGTTGTTAGAAGGAACTATAGTAGAATGATAACAATGCAGACATTCACTGCATTAGCCCCAGGGGCTCCCAGAAGCCTCATCATAAGCCTACGAGGAAGGTGACTTGGGTATTTCTTTCTTTAGAAGGCCTATGATGCTTCAGAAGGTAGTGGGCAGTGAAGGGGGTACGGGCAGTGAAGAGAATCACCGTTCTGGAGTAGGTCAACCATGGGCTCCCTGCCTTGGGTACCTACCCCCACGTCTACATACACACAAATAAATCAATATTTAGGCGTTCAAAAGGCCACCATTTGATCCAATCCCCTAAACCTTCACCAGACCCCATGCAAAGGCACGCGGTAGTGATGAAGACGCCGGCAGCCTTACCTGGCTCCAATGCAGGATGTTCTGTACAGATGTTCCAGCCGGGGTGTGGGCGACGTAGACGTTGGCTCGGCTCTGCGAGGAAGCAGGAAGGAAGCCAAGGTCATCAAGACCACGAAGCCTAGCTCATCAAACCTGCAAGCCAAGCTGGATCCCCTCTGCTGAGGACCCTGCCCCATGGCTCTCCGGGCCATTCTTTTCTCCTTTGGAGTATCTCCCCGTGGGGAAAGGCTCTCCCCAGGTAGGGGATGGAAGCAACAGATCAAAGTAGGCAGAAATTAAGAGAATACTGGGGAGGGGATTAGTAAGTAAGGCCCCTAAAGCAGAGGCTACTTTGCTATGTCCTGAACCCCTCGGGCTCTCAGGTTTTGGAGCCTCAGGACCTCTTCTTAGAATAATGGTTTTAAATGCATATAATAAAACGCAAAGGGTTATGAAGGAAATCAATTACATTGAAATACAGCTGTCAAAATAGTTTTGAAAAAACCCATTTTTGGACCTCGGCCTAAAAACTTCTATTTTAGAGCCTAAGATGTTTTAAGTTTTTTTTTTAATAATTTCAGTTTTTGTTTGACTTCCTGCAACTTTTGATGATGCAAACCTTTTGTTCTTAATGTTTTTATTCTTGCTTCCTTTGATTATCTCTGGGCCTTTGATTACGATTTTGTGTAAATGAAATAAGAGAATTCAGGCTGCGTTCTAGCCCTAAATCTATGATCCTTAATGAGCAGATATGGATATTCTGATTCACAATATCCATTCTGCGTAGAAAAAGCAGCTGTAGCTCTGGAGGCTACTGGAATGGACTGCAGAGACCTGGGATAACCCATTTTTTTAGACACATCTCTACAAACATATTGTAACTCCTGATAGAATCTGAGTTCTTCGAGCGTAACACTTACTGAATTTTTGTTCTTATATCATTAGTGCCTAGCACAGTGTGTGGCGTGCAGCGAGCATTTAATGAATGTTTCTTGATCGATTGGACCAAAATTGACTGGGTACTTGCATGCATCGTCTTTCTCTGAGCTCCACTGTCCTGCGGAGATGACCCTGGGCTCTTGAAGGTCACTCCGGCAGAGGATAGCTCTTGCTGGTCCTGTGAAAGCTGCAAGGCTTTCAGGATGGAGCTGGGGATGGACTGCTGTCTAAAGGCCAGCCGCGCTAAATTCAGAGAAGCGCATCATGAGGTTGGTACTGGGGAATGAATGTTTTAGTAGCAGTTCAGGAACGTGGCAATTCCTGGAGACTAGGAATTAAGTAGGCAGAGAGGGGTTGCAATCTGAATTAGTGAAGGGTGCATCAACATCAATGAAACCGACAGACTCCAGATGACGCCTGGTGTGCCTGTGCATGTACAGTGTGTATAGCCTAATTTATCACTGTCTGGGCTGCCATAACCAAAGTACCTGCCACCTAGTGGCCAGCCAAGCACAAAACAACATCTCCCAAGTCTCTGCCAGCTTGTCCTGCAACGCTCATTAGGAATGTGCGAGATTCCTCTGTGCCTCTGGTTTGTTGGTCACAAAAGGCCATTTGATTCAGCAGAGCAAAATGTGGCCTCAACATCTCTCTTCCCACAAGGAGTCCCAAGCACTCATTGGGTTTGTACAGATTCCTGGGACGATGCACCCATAGAGACGTCATTGTTTGACAGCCTTGGATTATGGGTATCAAGTGAGGCATAACCTGGGGCCACCTGTGGATTGTGGGATCCAGTGTCATAAGGATACCCAGGGCAGAGCCATACAGAAGGGCCATACCCTGCAGAGGAGGAGAAACTTCAGGTGCCCATTTGTCAAGGACGTTGAATTGATTGCCCAAGGTCACACAGCCAGTAAATGTCAGAGGTAAGATTTGAACTCAGGTCTTCCTAACTCCAAGTCCAACACTCTGAGCCTTGTGGCACCACCTAGCTGCCTAATAGCATGACATGGTGGAAAAGGCCCTAGACTTGGGATCTGGAAAGACCTCTGATCAAATTCTACCCCTACCATTTAATGGCTGTGTGACCCCAAGCAAGGCATCTCATTCTCTGAAACCCAGCTTTCTCATCTAGAAAATGGGGAGAATGATATCTGCAGCACATTCTCATGCGGGTGGGTGGGAGAAGTATAAGAAGAATAAACAAGATAATAATCGTAATCCTTCTTTTTTTGTCTTTTGACCCTTAAATAGGATTGGGTTAGAGACCAGACTGTGATTTCATCGATAGAGGGAACTCCCATATTAAGAAACCAACACTTCTTCAATTTAAAATCTCAGCTGTCCAGAGCACTGAGAAGTTAAGTGACTTGCCCAGGGTCACAAAGCCAGTAAGGATGAGGTGGTTTTTTTCTTCAATCTCCCCCCTGCCATTATATCTCCTATTCCATGATCCATGGAAAATGATGGTATTTAAATAATATTATTAATTATTGAATACTATATTAACAATATGATGCTATTAATTATTGAATATTAGACTATTAATTTTAAAAGAATGTTATTAATACTATTATTTATTAAAAATAGATGTTTTTAAATTGCCAAAGCATTTTGACTCAAATGGAAAAGTCCCACAGAAATGGTCGTGAACACCCTTCCTCTGCCCCAGTTGGGATAAAAATCAGCCTCCAACCTCTGTAAATGCAAGCACCAGACGGGAGAACCGTCCTCCACCCCTCTAGGTCCAAGGGAAGTAAGAACTGTGGGAGGAGTCACAGGCGAATTCCCAACATGTTGACTATGGGAATCAAGCAGGGCTTCTATGTCCCTCAAGAATAACACTTGGGTGATCTGATTACAAAGACACATCCCATTAATGACCAAAATCCTGTTCAGCGTGATCTGCTGATCTCTCTCGCCCCTTCCTGGGTCCCGGTTACTCTTGATTAGGAAGGAAGGGGCATTTTAGGCCAAGAGAAAGGAGCTTGGCTCTTTTCTTTCTTTTTCAAGCTTGGCTCTTTTCATTCCCTTCGCTCTGAAAAGCAATAAATTAGCAAGCATTTATTAAACACCTACTATGTGCCAGACACTGGACTACAGTCTGAGGATGCAAAAACTCTAGCTTGCCATAGATAATTTGTGCTGGCACTTCCTCTTAGAGGAAGTTTTCTCTTATCTTTCCTGCCCTCTTCCTCCCCACCTTCCAGCTGTTAGTGCCCTCCCCCACCCCAAATTAGCTTAATTATGGTTTGTGTGTCTGCGTGTATATATATATACATATGTATCTATACATGTATATGTATGTATGCATACACACACACATAATCTTTTATGTGCCTCCAACAGAACGTAAGCTCTTTGAGGACAAGAGTGTTTATCATGCTGTCCTTTAATTGCCCTTGTCTTGGCATAAAATTGGCACACAATCCATGCTTAGGGCTTGGGCTGGGAGGAGGAGGATGGAGGCCAGTGTGCGTTGGGTGCCCCCCACCCCGGGTTCCCTCTGCCTCCTTTCCTTTGCTGTCTCACCGCAGGGAGGCTGGGAGGGAGCTGAGTTCTATCTCTATGTCTATGTCCTGAGAGTGGGACATCTGGCCTTGTGCAGTGTGAGTCCAGCAGAGAGTACTGTCCCATTTTGCAGATGAGCCTAGCCATCTCAGTTTTGCAAACTGAGGCCTAGCCATAAGGTATTAGAGGTAGAATCTGAACTCAGGTCTTTCTGACTCCCCCTTCCCCTCAACATATACTCATCTCCACTGAGCTCTAATGGAAGAAGACACTATGAACATGTCTTATTTCTTGTTCATCTTGGGAAGTGTGGGCTGTTCCCTCCAACAGAGCACTGAAGGACACATCTAAAGTCAACATTGTGATTTGAACTCAGGTTTTCCTGAGTCAAGGGGCAGCTAGGTGGGGCAGTGGATAGAGCTCTGGGCCTGGAGTCAGGGAAACCTGAATTCAAGTCTGGCCTCAGACACTGACTAGCTGTTGACCCTGGGCAAGTCACTTAATCTCTATTTGCCTCAGTTTTCTCATTTTAAAAAAATGAGCTGGAGAAGGAAATGACAAACCACTCTTGTATCTTTGCCATGAAAACCCCAAATGGGGTCGTGAAGAGTCGGACACATCTGAAAAATGACCGAATAACTTCCTGATTCTACCTAGCTCTCTAGTTATAGGGAGGGAGGAGGGGAATAAGCATTTATTAAGCACCAGCTCTATGCTGGGCACTGAGCTAAGTGCTTTGCAAATATTATTTCACTTGAAATAATATTCATTATATTTCTATCTCCCTTTCCTGGCCCTGCCCCCCACCCCACATCACATTCCCCATTGCTATGGAAGGGGCTGAGTCCATGTTGGTTGAATGAATGAGGGACTGTTTCCTGCAGTGTGTCCTCAGGGATGCATCTTTACAATGCAGTCTTGGGATGCAGGTTAGCGCATCATTTCTGGGTCCTAACTGTGAGGGATGGGACACAGAGTGGAGCTCCACCTGGGCATTTGGTGGCTTCCCACCTGATCCTCAGGGTACCAACCGGGACAGCCCAGCCTCCTACCATGTTCAGATTGTTGGTGTTGAATCCTCCTAGGAGCAGGATAATGTTGCTGCAGAGCTGGTCCAGAATGGCCTGGCCACAGAGGTGGATGAAGAACGGCCGGAGGAACTTGTGTTGGTGAAGAAATTCCTTTTTGCCAAACACGCTCTGGGACAAGTCAATCAATCAATCAATCAATCAATCTATCAATCCAATATTTACTAAGCACCAACTATGTGCCTGGTACTGTACTGAGCTGAGGAGACAAAGAGGGAAGTCCTTCTAGATGGGAGGGACAGAAAAAGACACAGAGGAGAGAAATCCATTTGGATGGGAATGGAGGGCATATGGAGAGAAAAATAATAACGCAAGCCTGGAAAGAGAGATTGTGGAGGACTGAAGACTTTAGGTTTTATCCCAGGGTCCACAAGGAGCCATTGACGATTTTTGAGGAAGGGGGTGACTGGGTTAGAGCTGTGTTTTAGGAATGTCGGTTTGACACCTGTGGGCAGATAGGTTGAAGAAGGGAAGCGCATGCCAGGACTGCCTGCCTCCGTGCTTCTGTTTGGGAGGGTCCCAGCGGACCTGAAGAGGCTTGTCTGACTGAGTAGATGCTCCCCGCCTCTGACTGAATTCCTACCTAACCGGCCACGGGATGAGTTGAAGAATCACTTACCTTGATCATTATCTCTGGCAGCAGCAAGAACTTGGTGCCAGGGCTTTTCGAGTGTTTAACCGAGGTGATCGGAGCTAAAGCAAAATACATTTTGATTCTCTGGGCCAGCTCAGGCATTGTGGAAAATGCTATGAAGGCTGCGGGGGCAGAAGAGATGGGTGAGGAGGGGCTATCAGACCCCACCCCTATACCACCCCCCACTCCTCAGGCTTAGGGGAGGGAGCTCCTGCAGCACCCAAGAGGTGAGCCTGTCTACATTGGGGGTTTCAACTCTGTGTCCCGTCCCTCACAGTTAGGACCCAGAAACGTGAGCTGGCTTGCATCTCCCATTTTTGGGTCTTGATAAATAGTCTGGAATGAGAGGGTGGGTTTCACAAAGCATTCTGGGTTGGAATTGGATGCAAATTAGAATGAAGGTTTCAGTCAATCTCATGTTAACTATTGATAGGCAGTGTAAGGTAATGGGGAGAACACTGGACTTGGAGTACAGAAGACCCAAGTTCACATTTCAACTCTGATGTGAGCTATGTGCCCATCTGAGCCCTTCTGAACCTCAGTTTCCACATCTGTAAAATAGAATATCTGTGTATCATCAATGAGGCTCAGATGGAATAACACATGTCAAGTACTTTAGGGGAGTCAGCAATTCTCAGGGTTTTAGCTTCTGTTTTATTTTTACTTTTTACTGGACATGTGACTTTGTCAGTGTGGGAGCTCCGAGGAAGTAACTTTCCTTACCAAGTAGAGAGTCTCCTTTGCAACTCCTCATCTCAGAATTGCCCAGTCAGTCAGTCAAGAAGCATTTATTAAGCACCTACTATGTGCCAGACACTGTTAAGACCTGGAACTATGGGAGGTGATCTCTTTCCCAAGGTCACAGTCCAGTTGTGGCAGAAGTGAGACTTGAACTCAGGTCTTCCTAACTTTGAGGCCGACTCTGTAACCACTGTACCACACCATCTCCCAGTTATTAGTTCATCAAATTCCCTGAGTGGTGGGCTCAGGATCTTGATGGAAGTATGCCGTGTTCCTGTACCTTTGCCAGGATCTTTTCCCAACTTTATTTTATACAAACCAGGACAGGGAAAGTAACGATCAACAAAAACAAAACCCAACTGGCCCTTCCTCAGCCAGCATCAGCAGCAGAAAGGAGCAGCCCTCACTTCCTACTGTAAGCTTCAAGATCGTCCTGGCAGAATGGCGGAGTGTAGACAGAGTCAGGCAGGCCTTAGAATCAGAAAGTCCTAGCTTTGAATCCTGCCTCAGATGCCAGATGCCAGATGCCAGATGCCAGATGCCAGAAGGGCAAGCCCCTTCCCCAGTCTGGGCCTCAGTTTTCTCATCTGTAAAATGGGGGGATGGACTGGATGGTCTCTAAGGTCATTGTCAGCTCCATATTGATGACCCAATGACCTCCTGTCTTTTTGAGATAGCTGTGTTGGATGCTGGACAGTGCCCTGGTCAAGAGTCCTGCACCCATCTGAGGAGAGCCTGCAGGTGATCCCATTATCCTGACTGCAAAACTGAGGTGCATAGCTACTTAGGAAAGAGTCAAGCCTTGACTTACTCCTGGCTAATTAGAGGAGAACCCATGCACTTGGCTGTGTTTGTAGGGCTAGATCTCCTATAAAGATTTGTTTGCTGATTTATGAAGCTCTCTGGCTCACATTTTAGCTCAGCCAGCCTCTGACTGGGACTTCAGGCAGTTCACTCGGAATGGGTTTTCTAAGCCCTCAATGCCTCATCCTGGCACAGAGATGACTCAGGGTCAGGAAGTGTCTGCCAGACAAGCATGTGCCCTGGCAGTCTGACCAATCTTTGGAGGCTTCCTGTGTGACCTGGGCTGGGGGTCTGACTGCCTGTGGGCTCTAGATGTCAAATAGGCCACACTGGAACGGGCAGCCTGGGGGGTACAGGATACCAGGAGGCCGTGCAAGTCTTGGTACTTGAAAGGGAATGGGAGGTTGGGAAATCTTGCCTCAACTGTTTTTGTTTCATGAAGCATGCACGATTTTGGGTAAGCCACCTCCCCTCTCTGAGGCTCAAATCCTCTGTAAAGTGAAACAGTTAGCAAGAGGATTAATAATGAGGTGAGAGAAGAAAGCGTTAGAGGCATGAAATCCCGAAGGGCCTCAGATGACCCGTGTAGGAATCTGAACTTTACTCAATAAGCCGTAGGGAGTCACTAAAGAGTTATTAAATACAGAGCCTTAGTCTACATATCTGTCAAATGGGGGAGCTGGTCTACAGAAGGTATTCCTAACCTTTTTAGCTGAATGACTCCCTAGGGTGGTCTGCTGAATTCCATGGATCTCTTCTTAAAATAATTTTTTTAAAGAATAGAACAAAATACAGAGGATTACCAATGAATTATATTGACGTAAAAATGTATCTGAGCTGTTTATACTTCCAAAGAAGCTAATGGGTCCACGAGGAATGAGTACAGTTCAGGCATGGGGAACACCTTGTGAACCGCCAGCAGGCCAGGCTGACTGGAGCAGAAAGTGTATGGAAGCCTATGGCGACGTGATCTAAGCCTGGAAAGGCAGGTGGGAGTCAGACTGCAGAGGGCTTTTATTTACAGGTTTTGTATTTTAACCTAGAGGCCACAGGGAGGCTCTGATGATTGCTGAGTAAGGGGAATGGCTCCTTCAGATTTGTGTTTGAGGAATTGTTTGTCCTTCGTTTTTGAAGAAGACCAGCGACATCATGGCTGACGTCTTGACTTGTGTGTGAATTGGATTTAAGCGAGGCAGAGCTGTACAAGGTCAACAGCCTCTCTCTCTTTAAGGAAAGACAGGTGTGTGGGGGGTGGATTGGGGAGTATAAGGAAGGTGTGGGGAAATGAGACAGGAGAAGAGATAGGTTGAGGCTCTGACCTAGGGTTTGAGGTTTCTACGGAAGTGGTTAACTTACAAATCTGCTCCCCATTCAACATACCCATTGTGGTTCCTTGTGAGTAGCCGACATAAAATACTTTTTCCTGGCCCGTTTTCTGCAAAATAAAGTTTATCACTGCTGGAAGGTCAAACCTAGCCATCTCATCATAACTATAAGGGGAAAGAAAGTTTTATGCAAAGATTACCATTCCTGCATTGGGAGCGGAACATTGGTTAAGAACAAAACACAAGCAATATGTTTACAAGGATATTTACAAGCGAACACGAGCAAGCAGGTCAACCATGAGTCCCAAGGACTGGACCCAGCTCATGGCCACTGAAGCACATCCCTCAACTGATGGCGCAAGCCAACAGGCATCTGGCTGGGTCTATACAGCTGACCAAAACTCCCGACTGGTCTCATCTTCCCAGATTACCCAGCGTAGGAATCATCGGTAATACCTTTTTACAGAGCACACACCATGCCCCATTGAGGTAGGAGGCACCTCTAACTGGCTCCTGTTTCTACTGGAGTTTGATATCACTGCCTTAAAGTATCAAACAAATGCTGTTATTATTGTCCTGATTTACTGCTCTTTCTCGTCTTTTTTGATGAAGTCCAGAGAGAAGAGGCCTGAAGACAAGTCACTATCCTATTATTAAGAATATATATTTAATGTTCCACAGACTTTGGTGCAGAGATGAAATGGCTGCTTTTTGTTACTGAATAAAGACTATTTGGATGTAGGCCCGTCTTCTGTAGAGTCACTGAAAGCACCTTTGTAATGACTGTTGTCATTGGTAGGGCTAGGGCCTGGGTCTGTGATTTCACTGGCTTCCAGGTACGGATACTCCACATGCCTGGGGCTCTTAGCCTTTCACTCTATGTCAGGGACCCCTTTGGTGCTCTAGAGAAGCCTGTGGACCCCATCTTTGAATAATGTTTTTAAATGAATAAAATAAAATATAAAGGATTAGAAAGGAAATTCTATTGAGGAAGTTATCAAAATATCAAAAATAAATGAAGTAGGTCAATGACTTCTCTGTGATTTACGGCCTCACTGAGTTCTTAGAACACTCACTCAGGGGTTATAACTGGGATTACTTATTTTATCTGGGTGGAGGATACTTGCCACGAGTTCTCCATGCCTAGAATGTTTTCCTCATCTTCTTCTCCTGGCTTCCCTGGCTTCCTTTGAGACTCAGTTCAAATCCCACCTTCTTAGAGGGGCCTTCCCTACCCATCCCCCACCCCCAGTGCCTTCCCTCTGAGATGACTTCTCATTCATTTGGTATATATCATTTGTATGCACATTGTTATCTGTATATTATTGCCTCCATTAGAATGTAAACTCTTTGAGGCCAGATGATGTTAATAAAAAATACTAGTTAATACAGTTGATGAGGGGTTGGGAGGACTACCCATATAAATGTTTCAAGCATGTGAGAAGTCAAAGACTCTTGCTTGACTCTTAGCTGGCCAGCTGGCTCCTTCCACAGCTACCCGTCCGCCATTATTCCCAACATCCCCATCTACCTGAAAGCCCAAAACTCATCTTGGTCGACCGTGAGGGTCTTGTGTTTGCAGGACCAGGTGTTTCCTCGGCTGTTCCCCATCCACACATCATAACCCGCATCGGCCAGGATGAAGCCCAGGCTGTTGTTAGGAAGATTCAGGATCCAGTTGCTTGCATCACCAAGCAAACCGTGTTGCAGTAACACCACTGGCCTTGGCCCTAGAGGGGAAAAGAAAAAAGTTCAGATGTTATAAATGGCCACCATATTGGAGGGAAGGTTGAGCCTCACTAGAGAACTGAGGAATGATGCTGGATCACAAGACAAGTAACTCTAGAATGGGCATTTTGGGTACCCAGTAGGACATCAGCGTTAGCTTGGCTATTAGCCTGTGGCACCCTCCATCAGGCAATTCAGGTTATCCTCTTAAACCGTATGGAAATGAGCCAAGCCAAAAGACTGGAATAACAACTTCCTGGTGAATCCAGTTGGTTTTCCTTGTCTGCTCCAGGGGCATTTGGCCCCAACCCTGAGCCTTGAACCAGTGTAAGACTTAACTTCACCTCCATTAAATTTAATCTTATTAAATCCACATGACCACAGGACACTGGAATACTAAAAAGTGGACAACAAAAGTGGGAAGAGGGACTTTGAGATTGATAATCTTAGATTTACCAGACAAATAAAAAAAAAAACCCTAAAAGTTGTAAAGGGGAAATTCTACTTGAAAATAATGCTTTTTTTTTTTACCGTCATGTGTCTCCTGCCCATCAAAAAGGACATGAAATTACTTTTTAAACATACTCAAAATGCCAGGTAGACAGAGGATGCCTGCTTGGTATGAAACGAGGAAGTAAACAAGTATTTATTGAACCCCTGCCATGTGTCAGGCACTAGGCTAAGCACTTTACAAATATGATCTCCCTTGATCCTCACAACAACCCTGGGAAGTAGGTGCTATTATTATCTCCATTTTACACTTGGGGAAACTGAGGTGGATAGAGGTTAAGTGACTTGCCCAGGGACTCACAGCTAATGAATGTCTGAAGCTGGATTTGAACTCAGGTCCGGCCCTGTCTCCACTGTGGCATCACTTAGCACGAGTGTGAAGTCACCTGGACATCCACCAGACTGAGGGTCTGAGACATGTCCCTGCTGGCCTCTTTAGAACTCTCTCAGCACACTCTGGTTCACTCAGTAATGCTCCCTCCATGTGGGGAGCATCCCAACTACCACAAACCGAGGTGCCTCTTACCTGGGTCCTCTGGAAGGTCTTTGCCCCAAGGAATCCTGTTGACAGTCAGGATGTAGCCGTCTTCTGTGGTGACCTCATACTCCTCCCAGGGGTAGCCATGGTGCTGGATTATCTCACTCTATGGAAAGAAAGCAGGACTTTCTGCTCAGGCTTGTTGGAAGGGGCAACATTTCCTGTTCCCCTTAAATGCCTAGGGGGCAGGTCTGCAGGACCAGCCTTAGGCCTGGCCTTCTCCAGCTTTATGCAAGCCTGGCCCTTAGTTTTCCCTTCAGTAAAATGGGAAGATTGAACTAGATCTCTATGAACCTTTCTAAATGTTAAGCTGACTTTTTTTTCAGAGTGTAACTAAGGTAGGTGACCTGGACCTTGCCTTAAGGGCCAAAGATCTAGGAAACTTTGCCAGCATTTGAAAAACCTAAATTTGGCACCTAGTTACCAACAATGATTAGTTAAAATAGGAAGCTAGGGGGGCAGAGCCAAGATGGCAGACTAAAAGCAGTGACTTGTTTGAGCTCTCCCCCATACCCCTCCAAATACCTATAAAAATGGCTCTAAACAAATTCTAAAGCAGCAGAACCCACAAAATGACAGAGTGAAACAAATTTCCAGCCCAAGACAGCCTGGATGGTTGATCGGAAAGGTATATCACACCAGGCTGGGACAGGAGCACAGTTTGGTGTGGGCGCACAGGCCACAGCGACCCTGGAGCAGGCCTCAGAGGACTGAATTGTGGACAGCTGTGATGGATTCCAGACTTCTCAGCCCATGAACGCCAAAGACAACTTAGAAGGTTAGTGGGAAAAGTCTGTGACTGCGGTGAAAGAAGGAGCTAGGTCTCAGCCTCAAGTCTGGAGTGTGCCCTCGGGGCAGCAGCTGCCTCCTGAGCTTCTGGCCCACAGACTGAGGGGGAATCTAGTGACTGATCAGAGGGGGTTTGCAGGGATCTCTCTGCTGGTGCAGGATTCTCTTGCTTTGCCCATGCTTGGAACTGGGTCACAGTTCTGGGTGTTGGTCCTGGGGCAAGGAGGAGCGCTGGCGTGGTGGAGCTTGTAGTGGCTGTGGCAAGGAAACCCTCCTCACAGTTCCAAGACAGAAAAGAGTGCTCACAGACCAGAGCACAGGCCAGGAAAGGAGTAAACACCTCGCCCTTGATCATACCACCTTGGAAGAACTGAAAATTTACAGGTCCCTAGAAGTATTTCTGAACACAGCTGCACAAAACCCCTGAAGCTTGGGACAGTACATTCTCCACACTGGAAACAGTCTCCTACCTTAACAAAGAGTTTGTAACTCAAGTAATTGGCCAGGATCATGAGCAAGCAGTGCAAAAAGAGTCAGACTATATTATCTTACTTTGATGACAAAGGAGATCAAAACATACAACCAGAAGAAGACAACAAAGCCAAAGCTCCTATGTTCAAAGCCTCCAAGAAAAATATGAATTGGTCCCAGGCCATAGAAGAGCTCAAAAAGGATTTTGAGAAGCAAGCAAGAGAAGTAGAGGAAAAACTGAGAGTGATGTTAAAGGAGACCCAAAAAAATACTGAAGAAAATAACACCTTAAAAAATAGCCTAATCCAAATGGCAAAAGAGGTTCAAAAAGCCAATGAGGAGAAGAATGCCCTTAAAAGCAAAATTGGCCAAATGGAAAAGGAAATCCAAAAGCTTACTGAAGAAAATACTTCCTTAAAAATTAGAATGGAGAAATTGGAAGAGAGGGACAATTTGAGAAATCAAGACACTGTAACACTAATCAAAAGGAATGAAAAAATAGAAGAGAATGTGAAATATCTCATTGGACAAACAACTGACCTGGAAAATAGATCCAGGAGAGAGAACTTAAAAATTATTGTATTATCTGAAAGTCATGATCAAAAAAAGAGCCTAGACATCATCTTTCAAGCAATTATCAAGGAAAACTGCCTTGATATTTTAGAACCAGAGGGCAAAATAGAAATTGAAAGAATCCACCGATCACCTCCTGAAAGAGATCCCCAAAGGAAAACTCCTAGGAATGTTGTAGCCAAATTCCAGAATTCCCAGGTCAAGGAGATGATATTGCAAGCAGCCAGAAGGAAACAATTCAAGTATTGTGGAAACACAATCAGGATCACACAGGATTTAGTAGCTTCTACATTAAGGGTCCGGAGGGCATGGAGTATGATATTCCGGAGGGCAAAGGAATTAGGACTACAACCTAGAATCACCTACCCAGCAAAACTGAATATAATCCTTCAGGGTAAAAAATGGTCATTCAATGAAATAAGGGACTTTCAAGCATTCCTGTGGAAAAGACCAGAGCTGAATAGAAAATTTGATCTTCAAATACAAGACTCAAGTGAAACATGGAAGAGTTAAACAGGAAAGAGAAATCATAAGAGACTTATTAAGGTTGAACTGTTTACATTTCTGCAGGGAAAGATGATATTTGTAACTCATGAGTCCTTTGTCAGTATTAGGGTAGTGGGAGGGAAAAAATTATATGTTTGTATAGATAGATAGATAGAGGACACAGGGTGAGTTGAAGATGAAGGGATATCTGGAAAATAAAATTAAGGAGTGGGAGAAGATTATACTGGGAGAATGAGAAAGGGAGAAGTGGAATGAGGTAAAATATCTCACATGAGACAGACAAGAAAAGGCTTTTACAGTGGAGGGGAAATGGGGGAAGGTGAGAGGGAATGAGTGAATCTTATTCTCATAGGATTTGGTTCAAGGAGGGAATAACATACACAATGTGGCATGGAAATCTATCTTACTCTGCAGGAAGGTGGTGGGGAGGGGACAAGAGAGCAGAGGGTTGATAGAGGGGAGGGCAGATGGGGGGGTAATGAAAAGCAAACACTTCTGAGGAGGGACAGGGTCAAAAGAGAGAATAGAATAAATGGGGTAGGGTGAAGGGAAATATACTTAGTTTTTCACAACAGGACTACTATGGAAGTGTTTTGCATGACTACACATCTATAACCTGTACCGAGATGCTTGCCTTTTCAATGAGGGTGGGTGGGGAGAGAGGAAGGGAGAAAATTTTTAACCCAATGTTTTAAAAACACTTGTTAAAAATAAAAAATAAAATAAAATAGGAAGCTAGTATGTGGCAGGTAGCATCCCAGGTGAGCTCCAACATAGGGGTGTGTGGGGGGGGCATATATGTGCAAGTGCTTGCTTCACTCTGCACAAGCATTTCTAGTTGTATGTCTACATCCTAGATGAAGCCTGGCATAGTGGAAAGGGTACTGGATTTAGGGTCAGAGGACCTGGGCTTGAATTTAGGCTTGGTAGTTTGCTCCCTGTGGGATTGTAGACAAGTTAAACCTTTCCAGGCCTCAGTTTCCTCATCTGTGAAATGAAAGAGTTGGTCTAATTGACTTCTAAAATCCCTTGAGAGATGTACTATGTATGGCACAGGACCATGCACACAGTAGGAGTTTAATAAATGCTTATTGAATAAATTACGATTTACAAATATTTAAACCTCCGGCATCATGAGAACATAACTCCTGGGTGAAGAATGGACATCTTCCCCGGTATCTGAATGTCCCATTGTCATGGAATGATTGCCCATCGAGGTGAATGGGATAAGGCAATATTGGGATGAGGTGGTACAGTGGTTAGTGCTCTGGGTTGGGAGTCAGGAAGAGCTCAGTTCAAATCTGGCCCACACATTCACTACTATGTGACCCAAGGCTAGTTACACAACCTCTGTGTGCCTCAGTCTTCTCATCTGTCAAATGGGCACCACAATGGCACTCACCACCCAGGGTTATTGTGAGTGTCAAATGTGACAATAATTGTGACGTGCTTTGTAAATGCCAGCTATTGTTTTTAAAGGTTGATGAGCTCCCTCAGATCGTCCACTAGACCACCCCTGGTTTAGCCCTGCTTGTTGGTGGTCACAGCTATTTAAAGCATCACTTAGTAGTAAGCCTCCTGACCATCCCAAATAGATGCAGCAATGTCCTTCTAATTTTTGAAGTAAACTATCTCAGACTCACTCAGAGCCTGCTAATTCTCACTTTAGACAACGTTCCAACAATCTTGGCTATAGGATTGCACATGGGATATTAAGAGTAAAAAAAGTTAGAAATGGGAGGGAGAAGATGGGTCCTAGGACTTAGACCTTGGGAGGGCAGTAGAGTCAACTCTTCATTTCACAGATGATCCTAATAACAGCTGCATTTATATGGCATGGTAAGGAGCACTGTACCCGCATTCGACTGGGCGATGCTCACAAGAACGCTATGAAGTTATTGCTATTATTGTTCCCATTTTACAGGAGAGGAAACTGAGGCTGAGAGAAGCTAGGATTTGAACTGAGGTCTTCCTGCCTCCAAGTCGAGCACTTTATCCACTAAATGAAAGTGTGAATGAATAAAAAAGCATTTATTATTTACAATTTGCCAAGGGCAACCAGGTGACACAGTAGATAGAGTGCTGGGCTTGGCGTCAGGGAGACTCAAGTTCAAATATGGCCTCAGACACTTACTAGCTCTGTGACCCTGGGCAAGTCACTTCATCCTGTTTGCCTCAGTTTCCTCATCTGTAAAATGAGCTGGAGAAGAAAATGGCAATCCACTCCAGTATCTTTGCCAAGAAAACCCCAAATGGGGTCACACAGAGTTGGATGTGACTGCAGATGACTGAACAGCAGCAATATTTGCCCAGGACTTCGCTGTTTGCTGGGGATATAAAATCTGCTCCCTGCTCTCATGGAGCTCACATGATGCCCAGAGGATTAGGGGCCTTGCCCCACTCACACCAGTAGAGAAGGATAGAGCTGAGACTTTAGCCCCAGTTCTGTGTCTACAGATCCAGCATCCTTCCTATTGTACCATTATGGAGTAATTCCGGGTTTGAAATAAGCACCGCCTCCCTGGACTTAGCTTACACACATCTGGAAATAACGAATGTGCCTAAAAGATGAGCTGGAGCCCTGGATCCTGGCCTTGGAGGGGCCCTTGGGGATCATCTAGTCTAACAGCCCAGTTTGAAAGAGGAGGAAGCAGGGCCTGGAGAGGGGACGTCACCTGCCCAGGGCTGCCGAAATAGCTGCCATTCAAACCCGTATCTTCTGATTCTAGCAAGAACCAAGAGCTGGTAATGAGGGTGAGGGGAAGGGGCAGCATGGAGAGCTGAAGGAAGCCAGCGGTCGGGACAGTTGTGCTAGGTGTAAAGAGCTCCCCATCCCTCTGTAGCCCTCTCCCACTACTGCAAGCCCTTCTCTGCATGACAGGATGGCACCAACGTGGGAGTCCTTGGTGAGGACTCCAGAAAGGGGCCCTGCAGAGGACTCTGTGTGACACACCGTGAGGGAAATGGTTAAAACTTTTAAAAGGCCTGGGGCTTCTAGTGATTTGGAAAATGCCCTTATGGGAACAAGGAGCCCTTTCCTTCCAGGGGCAGTGACCAAAGGAGACTCACCAGACACAGCACAACAGGTGTATCTCTTTCTCTCTCTTCACACACACACACACACACACACACACACCCCTTCCCCATTCACAAGCATCAAACAGGACAGAGGGACACAGAATGACCTGGAAACCCATTGTTCTGTCTTGAATCTCATGGGCAAACCCAACTTACGATGTTCATAAATGCCTCGGGGTCCACAGCCTTGGGCCCAATGAGCCTGGAGTCTGCGAGTCCTTGGAGAAGCCAGGCCACCACAATGAGCTGCCACATCTTGGTCCTGAGTGACCAAACCATCCACTGTCCACCACAGATCTCCTGCTTAGCCCAACATCGGGCTCCACTCAGGGCTTGAAAAAAAAATCTTCTTTTGTGTAAAGCACCAACTAATTCTACTTGGAGAGAGAGAAGTGGTGCCAGGGCAGGCTTCAAAAACCCAAATCCTGGAGACAAAATTCCTGCCGAGATTGCCTGCTTCAGGAGCAGCTGAGCCGAAGGGAACGCGAAGCAAGCCGTGTGAGTCAGAGCTTTCTAGGTCAGGTTTGGCTGTGTCTCGGTTCTCCCCCGCAGGGTCCAAGCCATCAGCCCTCAGTGGGCGGGGAGAGCTCCTTTGATGTCACCTGGACTCCTGCTTTGGTACCCAACCCGGAAAGCCAGTGCCTGGCCCTCCCATCGTCTTCTGGGCAGAATCTGCTTCCTCACCCTAGGCGCCCCTCCACCCCCGCATCTGATTGTCCCTTTTGGAAATCCAGGACTCTTCACAGAAGACAGGATAACCAAAGAACCGACTTTTACAGGACCTTTAAGATTCTGCAAGAAGCAGGTTAGGCAGGAGAGGACTGGGGCGGGGAGGGGGGGGGGGGACCCTGCATGTGGAGTCCCAAGACCTGTGTGGCCTTGAACAAATCACTGGAGCTTTCTTCATCTGCAAATAAGGGGATTGGCCTAGATGACCCACAAAGTCCCTTCCAGCGCTATTTCTGTGTTCCAGGGTCCTCATTGGACCCTGCATTTGGCCTCACATCAGTCCTGGAAAGTCAGCGCTATTCTTATTCCCATTTTACAGATGAGGAAACTGAGGCTCAGTGACTTGTCCAGTGTCACAAAACTAATATGTGTCTGAGGGCAGGATTCAAACCCAGGGCTTTCTGATGAAGTCCAGAACTCCATCCTCTAGGCCACACCGAATTTTTCGCTCAGCTCAAATCTGGCCTTGTCCAGACTGACCTTTTCTGCCCCCTCCCCAGCTGTGGGTGCCTCCCCCCCGCAGAGTACATTCCTTTTTAATTACAGGTTATCTCCCCATCGGCACCTTTGCTCCTTAAAGCTGGTGCCGCGTGTTACTGGTGTTTTTCTTTTCTTTGCAGCCCTCATGATTAGCACAGTCACACAGTAAGTGCTTAATTAGTGCTTGTTGACTATTTACATTCTGCATCTTCTGCAACCTTTCATGGGCTTGTGGAGAAAGCTGAGTGTCTAGAACTAGAGGACCTAGGTTTGAATCTCACCTTCGGTGCTTCCCATCTGCGAGACCTTGGCCAAGTCACCGGTCATCTTTAGGCTTCGGTTTCCTTCTCTGTAAAGGAGGGAGGCTGCAGTCAATGACCTATGTCTGAAGAATCAGTTGGAGGCTACCTGGTCATTGGGGAGCCTGGGATAATAGGCCAGCCTGCTGTGATTCTGGCTATTTCAAGCGTTTGAACCATCTGATTGAATGGGCAGTGGGAGGATTCTCTCTGCCCCCCAAGGAGTCCTCAGGCCGGCTTATTTGTGGACTTCTTGGCATGGCCTTTATACTCGAACACTTTTAATGGAGGATTTCTGGAGTAGTCCTCCACCAGAGAGGCGGTGCCACAGAATGGATGGAATCCAGAAGACCTGTATTCAAGTCTCCCCATTGACACACACTCATCACATGACCCTGAGTGAGTCATTTACTTTTCAGCAGACCAGGCAGGTCGCTGAGGGTCTCAGTTACAGACGAGATGTGACTCTTCATCCATGGAGGAAGCTTCTAACTTTGGAATTGACCCCAGGCCTGGAATGGTCTTCCTCCTCCCCTCCACCCTTAGAAGCCCAGATTTCCTTCAAAGATGAGCTCAAATGCTGCTTCCTACAGGGGTCTTCCCTCCCCCAACTTTTACCTTTGATATATTTCACATATATTTTGTACGCACATATATAGGTTCATGTCTCCTCTGATGGAATATAAACTCCCTGAGGGCAAGGACAGGATTCTTTTTTCTGTGTATCATCAGGGACACAAAGTATAGATGCGACACATTGTTTATTGTTCATTCATTTTCATTCGTGTCTGACTCTTTGTGACCCCTTTTAAGATTTTTTTTGCAAAGATACTGGAGTGGTTGGTCCTTTCCTTCTCCAGCTCATTTTATGGATGAGGATCTGAGATAAGCAGGGTTAAGTGACTTACTCAGGGTCACACAGCTAGTTGGTGTCTTGAGGCTGGATTTGAACTCAGGAAGAAGAGTCTTCCTGACTCCAGGCCCAACACTGTATCCACTGTACCACCTTTGACACATTGTAGGCCCTTAATGAATACTTGTTGATTGATCAATATAGGCAAAATCAATCCAATCAATAAATCAATCAACAAGCATTTATTAAGTTCCTACTATATACCAGGCATTCTAAGTGCTTAGAATACACAGAAAGGCAAAAAATTCCTGCCCTCAAGGAGCTTAAATTCAAATGGGGGAGACAAAATGCAAAAACTAGGCACATAGAAATGGAAAGAGTCCACCTCCAATGTCTCCTCAGAGAGTGAAGGTGACCTGGGGCTCTCCAGGGCTCTGCCAGTGAAGCATGAGCCCACGTTGGTGTGACCAAGCTGGAAAGGATGAGTAGGGGGCAGGGTTGAGTGTTGATCCTCCAGCAACCCATCTGGGTAATCTCTGGCACACCTCTTGACAATTAGCTCCCAGGGGATGCCTTGGTGAATGACTCTCCAAGACCACAGACTAAACCCTAGACAGGCAGTGTGTGTGTGTGTGTGTGTGTGCGCGTGAAAGAGAGAGACAGAGACAGAGAGACAGAGAGAAAGCTGCATTGATGAGCGGAGTCAATACTGAGCAGGGGACAGATACTTGAAGCATCTCCCATTAGGGATGTATTTATCTTACAACAATCTATGTAAACATCTTCTCAACGAGCCCAGACCAGAAATAGGTGTGCTGACATGTTAACTCTGCCTGTGGAATGCTGTTCTGGAAGGAGCCAGCCTGAGACTGGAATGATCAGAAGCCGTGGGAGAACGCTTGTTCTTGCCAAACTAGTAGCCCAATTGCACATGCTTTCTGAACTGGTTGGATGGGGATGGGGCACCCACCCAAATACTTAGGGATCCAATCAGAGCTTATCTGAACATTCATGCTGGGAGGAAGAGGAGGAGGAGGAGGAGCAGGAGGAGGAGGAGGAGAGGTAGTATGATGGTTGTGGGGGGAAGGAAAGAAACACCTGCTTTGGAGCCAGACAACCTGATTCAAATCCTGCCTGTTACTACCTATGTGACCTTGAGGAAGTCACCAACTCCATCTGGACCTCAGTTTCTTAACCTATAAAGTGAAAGGTTTGAGTTACATGGCATTTTAGCTCCAGATCCATGATCATATGATCCCAAGATTCTATTTGTCACTAATACTTAGTAACGTAACACCCTGCAACAATAATGAGCCCATTTTGAGACTGAAGGAATAAGCAATGTAATGGTCCCTAAGGTCCACGGGGTCTCCTCCTCTTTGGCTCCAGGGAGTTATTTTAGACATGCAGTTATGGAAATAGTTGCAATTGCTCTGAGCCCCCAGTTAGGACAATTCTTAACATTCAGGCAGAGGATGGACTGTCTAATTTTACATTTATAAATCTCTAGTTAATCTTTTGCTTCTTTGCAGTTGAGGCAAAATTCAGTTCGCTGGAAATGTTTGGATAACAACCCTTTATATAGATGAGAAGATTGAGTGGGGCAATGATTTACCCAAGGTCATATGGCTTATTATAACAGAGCCAAAATTAGAACCCAGGCATCCCAGGCAAGTGACATTTCTCTTAGCTTCTCATGTGAAAGAAAATTTTAAAATAGTAATGATTTTAATTGTTTCCTTTCCAGGCAAGAACCCACCAAAAAGCAGATAATGACTCAATTAAAGAAACTCTCATAAAACAGGCATTTCTAAGTTCTACCTAGGATTCAAAACTCAGAGATATCCTCAGTGATTTCATTATTTCTTCAGACAGTTCTGTTCCCAGCCTCCCAGAGTTATTTCCTATTTACTTACCTCTTTGCCTGCAGCATTCACAGTAGAATGCAAGCTCCTTGAGGGCAGCATCTATTTTCACTGTATCTCTGTGTCCCCAGTGCCTAGCAGAGTGCCTGGTATGTAGTAGGTTCTTACAGAGGTGAAGCTCCGTGTAACCTTATCACTTCTCACACTGCTAAATCTGAATCCCTGATGACTATTTAACAAGTGATTATGTATTTAGGTAGTTGATAGTAGTAAGATCTCATTAGTTCATAGACAAGTGAACTTTGCCTCATTGAGTTGAGAGCAGTGGTTACAACACTAAGATGTTAGAGTAAGCTGCCAAGGTCTGTCTGGGTCTACTTGGAGCCTCTAACAGGTCACTATGTCCCAGAATCTTAGGGGTGGATGGGAGCTTAGTGACCATCCTGGTCAGGACATCACTGATGGAGAACGCCCTCTGTGGCATTCCTGATCAGTGGTCACCCAGCCACTGCTTGGAGACGCCAGTGAAGGAAGAACCTGCTACCTCCTGAGGCAGCTCCCTTCCACGCTGGGACAGCTCTTATTGTTAGCAAGTCTCTTCTCACCTCAAACCTAAGTCTGTCCCTCTTTAACTTCTGCCCGCTGCTTCTTCTTCTACCCTCTGGGGCCAAACAGAACAAAGTTAATGCCTTTTCCACGTACCTGCCCTTCAGCCATTGAAGACATGTTGCTCTCCTGTTTCTCCTAAGCTTCATTTCCCTTCAGCCTAAGCATCCTCTGTTCCTTCTCTTAGTCCACACATGGTCTTTGAGATTCAGAGAAATTCAGTCATTAATAAATTGAGATGATTCTGTCTAATAGCAGCCAATGAAGAGGAAGGAAAAAGATTATCTCATAGGCTGTTTGGTGTTTTTAGTCAGAACCACCAATGACTGATTCCATTTTCCCACTAATGATTTTGGTATGGGGAGTACATGGCCCAAAGGCTCCCCTACACATCTCATTATTCAATAGGGACATTGTCAAGCCCATTCAGAAATTCAAACAGGGTATTTCAATCTCACTCATCCATATCTAGATGACTTTGTTACAAGGCACATGGATATATTCTGCATAGAGGAATATACATTCATGTTTTATGAAAGTAAATTATAGTTAATCTTGTTTTGAGACTTCTCAAGATACTTAAAGATACTTGGAAGGTTTCAAAATTAAAGGTAATGAGAAGGCATGAAGCCAAGAGTTGGAAGGGAACATGGACCTCTTGGTTCTACCTTT